CTGGTTAAAGAAATTTTGGTACATGAACACAATGGAGTACTATGTAGCTGTTAGAAAAGATAAAGTCATGAAATTTACATACGAGTGGTACTGCATGGAAAGCATCATTCTAAGTGAAATGAGTCAGAAATAAAGGAACAGACATAGAAAGACTGCTTTCATCTGGGGAACATAAAGCAACAAAATGGAGACTAACACCCAAGAATAGCTGAGATAAGTATCAGGAGGTTTACTCCATGGCTTGGAGGCCAGCCGCACACACTAGGGAATAAAGGCAGCTCAGATAGAGAAGGGAGCACCAAATAAAAGGGGTTGGGAGGATTTTCTCAAGATGGGAGATACATGCTGAAAGTAGGCTATAGACCAAACATGATTGACAATCAATGCCTCTTTTGCAAACCACAGCACCCAAAAGGAGAGAGAGAACAAAAGGGAATGCCCTGCCACAGCGATGGATTGGGATGTGGGGTGTGGGGTGTTGGGAGGGATACTGGAATCATTGGTGGTGGAAAATGGGCACTGGTGGAGGGATGGGTACTTGATCATTGTATAACTGAAACCGAAGCACAAAAGTTTGTAAGTCTACAACTCTACCTAATGATGTTTCACTAATAAAAATTAAAAATATATATGTTCAATTAAAAAAATAAAACTTAAAAAATTAATAAAAAAAGAGGAAGAGCAATTTAGACAGGGGAAATTTACCTTAAGGGTCTTGATATATTTGAAGGAAGATACAGAAATTGCATATGGCATTTTTAAATAAAAATGACATAATATGAATATACATTAAATATTGAAAATGACCCATGAAATAGTAAGAAACAACAGGTTAATGATAGGGTAAAAGAAACTGTGATTTTAAAATTAAACAACTGCTTAATCTGTAATTTTACCCAAACTCAGCTTTGCTAATAAAATATAGTGCATTTCCCCACCTTCCAGACTAAATCACTACATCTGTGCAGTGTCTGCATTATCATATGTGGTGTCATCTCAATTTTCTGCTCCTCCAAATTCCCATTCATATTGGGTTATGATGACATATACATATATTCTCCATTTAACAAAAGAGAACAAAAGGAGCTAAAATGACTTAGTCACATATACATATATATACACATATCACATGTGTATTAGGTAGAAATAGGTTTAAAATATGTTCTTTAAGAAGTTTTCTTTATTATTATGTAATTAAAATCAATATAAGCCCGATTTGTTGAAAAGCATAAGCAGGAAAAATGGATAGTTACACAATGTCAACAGGAGATAGAATCAATTAAAAAGTGCTTCAGGAGGGGCTGGAGCGATAGCAGAGGGGGTAAGGCATTTGCCTTGCACGGCTGACCCGGGTTCAATTCTCAGCATCCCATATGGTCCCCTAAGCACCGCCAGGAGTAAGTCCTGAGTGCAAAGCCAGGAGTAACCCCTGTGCATTGCCAGGTGTGACCCAAAAAAGAAAAAAAATGGATTTAGAAAATAGCATTTTATTCAAATAAGTATAAGTGGATTATACTGTTCTAATTAGAGACTAGAATCTTTGCATCAAAATTAACAATTTTAGACAAAAAATATTTTCTCTTCAATTTTTTGGGCCCTACCTTGTGGAACTTAGGACGTACTCCTGATTCTGCACTCAGGGATCACTCCTGGTGGGACTGGGGGTACCGCGTGAGGTGTTGGGTTTTGAACCCAGGTAAGGCACCACCAAAGCTAGCACTCCACCTGCTATACTATCCCCTTTAACCCTAATATGAGACTTTTTAAAAAATTTATTGGATAAACAAAAATTAACTAGACAAATGAAAGGAAATGAAAGAATCAGTGTTGGGATCAATTTATTAAAACTGAATAAAGACTTTTTATATTAATTTTTAATATATAGCCTATGAAGAAAATTTAAATAATAAACTTTGGAACTTTATACAGGAGAGCATAGAAATAAGAAAATATATTAGAAATAAATGTTTTACACCTAAAAATGAAAGTGGATCTTAACATACAGTCTCTGAAACTTACCTAATACTCATAAAATAATATGTAAACACAATATTTGAGATTCTTAGTTGTCACAATAGCAAGGCTTTTCTTAATATTAGTGTGGTGCTTAGATATCAAACCATTTACTTCTAAAATAAAGCATAAGTATTATTTATAATCTTCAGTGAAACACTAATCAAAAGTCATTTGAGTCAGGCCACAGATAAAACATCAAAATAAGAAGTAAAAATATAATATAAAAATATAATATATAAAATATAATATAAAATATAAAAATATATGATTTATAAAATTCTATTATATAGGAATAGTAAATATAGCTGAACTATTACTTGAAAATTTTAAACATTTATACATCTTCGAGTCAGCCAAAAATTTAAAAATCACAAAATATGGCTAACTTTAATAACACTGCATATAAAGTTTCAAGACTTGAAAGGAGATAGAAATAATGAGCAAGAGAACTGGCCTAGTAGGAACCCTGCACTGGGGTGGGGTGGGGCGCTAAAGGGAAGTGGGATCAGGCAGGAAAGGGACCACCACAACAATGATAGAGGCAAGTAGTCACTCTGAACTGGAACTAAGTGCTGTAAAAAGGGAAAGTGACATGCATGATACCCATCAGGAATAGGAGGGCAAATTCCAGTACCTAAAAAGGAGGATGGGGTTGGGGGCGGGGCAGAAGAAAGAAAAAAGAAGAAAGTACCTGTCATAGAGGCAGGCTTGAGAACGGGAGAAATATTGGGATACTGATGGAGTGAAGTGGACACCGGAGTAGGGATTGGTATTGTAACACTTTATGCCTGAAACTCAATCATGAATATCTTTGTTATTCACGGTGATTCAATACAACACATTTTTCTGAAATTTCATGGCTTTATAAAATTACACTATAATTTATTACATTTAGCTCAGAAAACGTGCATATCACTAAACATATTTAATTTAAAGCAAGACTTAAAATATGAACGAATTTCATTTGATGAAATGGAAAAAAAACATTAGACTAAGATTTTAAATAGAGGAAAAATTAAACAGATGAACATGAAAAACCAGAGAGGTACTAAGACACTTGCCTTGCATGCAATCAACCTGGGTTTCATCCCTGGCACACCATACAGTGACTCTTACCAGGACTTATCCCTGAGCACAGAAGCAGGAGTAATCCCTGGATGTGACCCCCAAATAAAACAAAAAAGATGAACACAACTGATAAAGTAGGTTTATGTATATATATATATATATGTATAAAGAGTGATAAAGTATCATTAATGAATCCATGAGTTCATTCTTTGATAAAGGAGGAAAACTTCTGAAAAGTCTGATCAATGACTTTAAAAAAAAATAAAACACACTAGGGCTAGAATGATAGCACAGCAGGTACGGTGTTTGCCTTGCACGTGGCCCGACCCTACTTCGATTCCCAGCATCCCGTATGGTCCCCTGAGCATGGCCAGGAGGTAGTTCCTGAGTGCATGAACCAGGAGTGACCCCTGACCATCGCCGGGTGTGACCCAAAAAGCAAATAAATAAAAAATAAAAAAACACAAATAAACATGAATATTTAAAGATCAGCGTACAAATATATTCAGAAAAGTGTAGAATTACAAGAAATTCTATAATTCAGATGTATTTGAAAGACAGATTTAACTCTCACTTTTAAATAAAAACACATGGTATACAATTGATAATTTTTAAAACAAAGTCATAAAAATTAATTTAAAGTAAATAATGAATTTAAAGTAGTTCAAGGTAAGTATAAACAAATATAAACATATCCCTTGAAAATCTATTAGTTTTGGGGTACAAAGATATAATGCCAAAAGTAGAGGGTTTGCTTTGCATGCAGCCAACCTGGGTTTGTGATGTCTGACACATCATATGATCCCCGAAAATCCGCTAGGAGTTTTCCCCAGCACAGAAGTCAGGAGTAAGTACAAACGGGTGTGGTCCAAAAAAAAAGAAAGAAAAGTAAATTCATTAAGTTTTGAAGTTCAAATAATAAACTTTAAAAATGTTCTGTAATATTTAAAACGAGTAAACATATCACTATCATTCAGAAATAATTTGATTTTATTACAATACCCAGGACTATTTTGCTGAAATTAATAAAGTGTTTGTAAATTTTAATTAGACTATTTTTTAAATAGTGAATTGGAAGTGAGATCACTTTAAGATAATAAAATGTTATATGTTGCTCACAAATAAAAAAGGCAAATAGTTAAAATGCATTTCAAGTGTAATTTTAATTCTATTTATTTTTTGAGATTACTTTGATGGTGACGCATACAATACAAAAGCTTTGGAAAAATTTTTGCTGTAATCACAAGTTCTATAGATTGAAAGGCTTACTAGTTCTTTTGTCTTAAAACAACATTTTGAAAGTCATCCATATATGCTGGCTATTCTACGAAATACTGTCATGATTTTAGGTGGGCATTTGTCTATTCAAATGAATATTTTTTATGTTTTGGGGGAAATGAAAGCAAGCCAGTGTTCCAAGAGAGAAAATAGATTTTAAAATTTGTGGCATTTTTAAAAATTTTTTTAAAAAAATTTAAAATTAATTTTTTTTTTAATTTAAAAAAATTGCCACTCATAAGGAAAGATGAAATCATGTTGTCTGCTACAATTAGATTGAGATTAAGTTGGAAAAGGACAAATACTGGATACTTTTATTTATTTGTTGGTTATGGAGTAACAAAAAAAAAAAAAGAAAAATAACAGGTAGCATCGAATAAGAACGCCAAGAAAAGAAGGGAATGGATAGAGGCAGAGGATTGAGGGATGATGACGGAACACAAGGATATTGGTGGAAGGTGTTGCACATTTAATTTTGGTGGCAGCAAGATGAGGTCATTGTATAGATTAATACCATAAATGCTACCACTCTTTTAGTCATGCCATCCAAACCACAATAATCATGAAAAAATGAAAATTAGGAACGTTAAAATGTATCTGTGAATCTAAATAACTACACACAAAATAATCACACTAACATTGGCGACTCAAAGCTTTTTCACCTCCGAAGAAGTTGATGACTGGGATTAAGGCTTGGCCTTTCCCAATGGTGCTCACTACAGTTTCTTCATTTTCCAGGATCTGCAGTTTGATGAATGCATCGGGTTTGGAAGTGCGCGCATGTATTGTAATAGGATGTGGTGATGCCACCTTAATAGAATACCTGTGAAGAGTTAAAAAAAATGTGATGGTATGTGAGTGTCTTGGTCTTTCCTTCAATTCAGTCACATGCAAACAGTATCATTAGCTGATACCATAATCTCCAAGAAAATCCACTGAAGTCCTCTGAAAATCTAGAGATACTATTGACAGTAGAAATTTTTGGGCAAACGATTACCCACACGCCTTTTTTGAAATGGGCTGAGTACACACATTTAGCAGTATCCTACAGAGAAGGATTGTGGGACTTTTTGTTCAGATACAGTAAGCACTCACAAGTCTTGACAGGTCTGTAAACTACAGCCACCACAAGCCTTTCCATGAAAGCCTCCTGCCAGGACAGACAAAGAGCAGGAGAGCGTGCTAACAGTGGCAAGAGCAGACCTCCCACGTGTCCTCTCCTCTTCCATAAGGGCTGGAATTGATCTTTCCTTAATGCAGTTGAAGAGAGTTTGCAAATGGCTCAGTTCCCCCATCAAGTTTCAATTGCTCCAGAAACTTGCTTGTCTATCATCTCTCTCCTCTGCTTAAATCTCTTGCTTTTGTTCTCATTTTTGGCTTTTGTACACATTCGACACAACCATTGGGGTTCATTCCTTTTTACCCGTTTAAAAAATGCAAATCAAAGTGAAACGTAAAATAAAATACAAGAAATCTTCAACCAAGTCTGCAGGCAAAGTGCTATTTCACTCATCACCCTCCTCTATCCCAGTCCCTAATTATGAAAAGAAAATTTCCTCTTTTAGCTATCTTCGTCTCATCGTTTCCCCCTCACTACCAACACTCCTCTCTGCCCCCAATTGTGGTCCTAAATTTTCTCTGGATGGGGTTTCAGGCAGCTGGTCACCACCCTATAGATTAAACTTCAGCTCTCATCTTGTTCAATTTCTCAGGAGAATCTGACAGAAGTAAAACCAATTCTCCTAGAAGCATAATAACCTTGTGCCTCATATTTGGAGGTGTTTAAAAACAAAGAGTTATGTCCCAGTGACATTCCAAAAAAAATCTTCATATTCTCTCTCGGGGCTAACTTTCATTGCATATACTTTGATAAAATAGTGTTTCCCAGTCTGTATCTCCAGTTCGAACTCTATGCAGTGGCATTTGGACATTGTCAAAATTTATGCTCCAAAATGAAATGTTTTCTTAGTGCTTAGTCTGCAATTGGAGTTGTTTTCCTAGCACCTCTGTCTGGGCAGGTGGTATATCCCATGCCAGGGTTCAAAGTTCAACACCCCAAGAATTCTAATCATCCAACACAGCAAGTTCACTTAGTAGATTATTTTATAAACTTTTTTTTCCCATTCTAATTCTAGTATCACTGTGCTGTTGGGCATCCTTTGGCCATGGGTAGGTGATATTCCAGCTTCCACTAATTCACAATATCATCTTTTTAGTATATGGGTCTTTTAAACTCTATAAAGTGTTGCAATGGGCCAGGAAAGTAATGTGAAGGCAATTAGTTTACAAGCAGCTCAACATGAAGAATTAATACAACTATTACTGGCAAACAAAAGCAATGGCAAATATTAGAGTAACTGATTCTCTTGACTCTGATTATTCTTCAAATTAAATGAATTCCATATGCTCTCCCCAAATAAATCCTTTATCTGAACATTCAGGCACAGTCTGAATATGGTAAATCAAAATAAACTACTTCTTAGCTAAATTGAAACAACTATATAAATTATAAGAATTAATATGAACTTAAGGAACAATTTAATATAAATATTAATAAAATAAATGTAACATAGAAACTGCATTATCTATATAATTACTAGTGATAAGGTGATATTTATAAATAATATAGGATGTATAAACATAGATGGGCTAATTTTGATCATACTAATTTTTAAAAATCTTTTTACTAAAGGTCAAAGGCAACATGAGAGAACTGATTCACATAACAGAGTTTGTATTGGGGGTGAGAGTTTGAAAAGGTAGGGATGTTGGAATATTTGGTGATAGGTATGATGGTAGATTTATGTGCATGAGAAACCATTGATAGTAATGCAAATCACAGAAATCTAATCAATATAAAAATTTAAAAAATATCTGTACAAAATAAAATGTGTTTTATAGTATGAGACTTAAGGAACAAACTAAAAACCCATTTCATTTACATAAGGTAAAGGTAAAGGTAAAGGTAAAGGCCCTCCCGTTGATCGTCGATTTGCTCGAGCGGGCCCAGTAACGTCTCCATTGGAGACTTTGTTGTTACTGTGTTTGGCATATTGAATACTCTCAGTAGCTTGCCGGGCTCTCCTAGAGGGGCGGAGGAATCGAACTTGGGTCGGCCATGTTGGCCGCTTGTAAGGCAAATGCCCTACCGCTGTGCTATCACTCCAGCCTTGAATCTAGATAGTTTGACTAAGCCTCAAGTACCTATCTGCTTGCAGTTCTATAAACTAAACTGAGTTATCTGTATGCCTGACATTTATTATCATATTTATGTTCTTGTAGAATACTTTGTATTATACTTTTGCAGAGATTATTTTTATATTTATTAGTATAAATTATCTGATTCCACCAGCAGTCTGTAAATCTAAACTACTAGATAACTCACTTATATTTGAAATTTTGAGGTTTAGTGATCCAGAAATTAGAATTGTTACTTGTTTGTCCTAATTTAAGAATTTTCAAAATTAAAACTGGAGACTTTTCCACTGTTGACTAAGTTTTTACATAAAATGTTTACAAGATGATCTCAAAATTACTTTTCAAAAATAGGCTTTTTATATTAATACCATGCTCTGCATTATAAAATTACCACTCAGAAGCTTAAGCAGTAGTTGCTAGAATTAATATGGATTCTTTCCAATTTCCTATAGATAAAAAATGTCTGCCAAAGCTTCCAATTAGATATTTACTATGATTTCAAGAAACTAAATGGAAATGTAATGTAAATAAACAATAGAAACTAATGGTATGGAGTACTATCAGGTATACTAGATGTATATTATGTATGCACTGTAGCACTGTGGCACTGTCCTCTCATTGCTCATCAATTTTGCTGGAGCGGGCACCAGTGATGTTTCCATTGTGAGATTTGTTACTATTTTTGGCATATCGAATATGCCATGGGGAGCTTGCCAGGCTCTACTGTGCTGGCGGGATACTCTCGGTAGCTTGCCGGGCTCTCTTGAGAGGGATTGAGGAATTAAACTTGGGTTGGCTGTGTGCAAGGCAACTGCCTTACCCACTGTAATATGTATACATATGTATATATTTACTCTAGTAATAAGGCATGGATATATATTAGGGAAAGGAGAGCAAGAGAGAAAGAATTTTAAAATAGGCATATAACAATGTCTGGTATTCCAGACATACTTTTCTACCAACAAAATTTAATGAGATCCTAAGGTGGCAAGGGACATTGAAAATTTATCATGCATAAAAAACTTATATAAAAATTAGAAATAATGGATTAATGAAAGAAAGTGGAATCCATGGTTAGGCTATTTATGGAAAGTATGGAGATAAACATAAAATGATGTCAGTTCAGGAGAAACCCACACAAAAGACCCAACAGAGATTGAGCACACCAAGGAAATAAGTTAGACAGGAAAATAGATGCATTCCAAAAGAATGCGTAAACCATAATTTAAAACTGACTCGTTATTTTAAACCACAGTTTATCAAAGAGAAAAAGGATTATTCTGTGGAATTATTTCTAAGTATCTGAAATATATCAGAGTTTCAATATTAAAGTTTCAAAGAAGAAATTAACACTGACATCTAAAATATTGAATAAAAGACAAGCACTATTTTAAAAGGAATGAATCTCTCATTCTGTCATATACTTCTACCTGAATAAAATGTTCTTATCATTGGGTATGTAGTAATCTCTGAATTCCTTTACAGTAAAATTATTGCTTGGAGAATCTCGGTTGAGGTTTGGAAGTGGAGTATACGAGCCAATGAGACGCAGTTTCCATCTTCCGGATGATACATACATGTCACTAGAAAATGCTTCAGCCACGAATGTATATCCTCTCTGCAGATAAGGATTACATGGAAATAAGTTGTGCTGTTACAAATCTCTCCAAGTGCAGTTATCTGACTTCTCAGTGCAAGACTATGACTATATGCAGTTTTATAAAAAAAAAAAATTAGGCATACCAAGTTAATGAACAATAGTAGCTAATAGTTATGAATGAGTGATTGCAAACATTATTAAAACATTTTTAAAATTTTAAGGATTTTTTAACTACTTGTTGACAGCAACTTTAATTTCACTGCAAAATTGAAAGCCCAAGATTCACTGCAAAACCTCTCCCTTTTCCCCCACCAACAGAGTGCTCCCCTACTGTCAATACAAAATTCAATGCTCCTTTGATGCCTCAATCCCTGACAACCTTCTGCCTTTCCACAAATGTTATGAAGTTAGGATCATACACTATACAGGCTTTTCCAATTGACTCCTTTCATTATAAAAAAGCATTTGATCTACACCCCATTTATTGGATGTGCCATGGATTATTAAGTGACTTAAACAAAGGCTGTCTTGAACGCTTCCAAATTTCTACAAGGATAAGCAAAACACCAACAAGGATTCATATATAGGTTTTTCTGTGGCCACCAGGTTTCAAATGTTTTGGGTAAGTACTAAGAAATGTGGCTACTGCATCAAATAGAAAGAATTATTTCGCATAAAACAACAACACCCCCCAGTAAAACTGTCCTGTAAAGTGACTGCATTATTTTTCACTCCTGGGAGCAATAAGTGGGAGATCCTTTTACTACACAGTATTTGGTATTTTTGGCAGTGCTACAAAATTGGACCATTCTAATATGTGGTGCTATTTCATCTGCTTTAGTTCCTCTTTCAACATATCGAGTCATCTTTTCATATGATTATTTCCCATCTGTCTACCTATTTTTGGTTTGATATCTGAAGATCTTTGACCCATTTCAAACTAGGTCGTTTGTTTTACTGTTGTTGAGTTTTTAGTGTTGCTTATTAATTTATACAAAAATAATGCATAGGTGTAAATCAACTTGAGAGACCAACTGCTGAGAATTTTTCTGAGAAAATTAAAGAGAAAAAAATGAAGATGTACAAAGCCATATAGTTATACAGCGGAAGATAATAACTGTTCAGTAGGAATAAAGTGTCAATTGCTCCAAGCCTGGATGAAATCTGTTGCCCTACACAAGACTGGGAATGGTGGGTGAAGATCTCTCATGTAACCACAATCTTTGGAAGTATTTGGGAATAAGTCAAACCCAGGAGAAAATAGAGAAGCTGACCTGTTTGAGGACTTATTTGTATGGAACTATGTGAGTGCTTAGCTCCATTCCCGTTTTAATGGTTTGCAAGATTTTATGATTTTATAAAGATCAATGGAGCTTTTTCCCGCTGGACAGCAAGATGGAGGTCACCTCGGAGCTTTTTGGAAAGCCAGGTATGAACCGGTCGTGACGGGGCGACCGAAACCTCATGGGAAGAGGGGCATTCCTGGCTTGTCCTTCACGCCCTACCGAGGTCACGAGTTGCCCCCCACGAGCGGCTCTCCACCACGGCCATGACTCTAGAGCCACAGAAACCAATCTTATAATTATCTGACTCTCGGCAGAAATACTTTCAGGCTTAATAAGTAAAATATCAGGCTACTATTGCGGCCACGCAACATCATTTGGTTCTTGTAACCAGCTGTATAAAACAAATTATTTCACAATGCCTTTTCAGCAGGTCTGATTTTGGGGTGTAAACTCTAAATAATAATGGTGCATCTTTTGTCAAAACAATGAATCTAATCAAAGTAGATAGAGTGTTAACTAGAATTCATCTGCCTCACAGGCATTGGGAGGGTTGGGAGGGGGATATATTGGGGTTCTTTGCGGTGAAAAATAAGTACTAATGAAGGGAAATGTGTTTGATGATTGCATGACCAAGACTTAAACCTGAAAGCTTTGTAACTTTTCCCACAGTGATTCAATAAATAAATTAATTAATTTAAAAAAAGATCAATGGAATGCTTTTCTTTTGTCTTATTTTCTCTAAAGAGAAGAAAGAACTGAGAAATGAATATTCTTGCACATGCTCTAAGTGGGCTGGAGTGATAGCACAGTGGGTAGAGCATTTGCCTTGCATGCAGCCCATGCAGCGGACCCGAGTTCTACTTCTCCACCCCTCTCGGAGAGCCCGGCAAGGTACCAAGAGTATCTCGCCCACACGACAAAGGCTGGCAAGCTACCCATGACGTATTCAATATGCCGAATACAGTAACAACAAGTCTCACAATGGAGACGTTACTGGGCCCACTCGAGAAAATCGATGAACAATGGGAGGACAGTGCTTCTTAGATGCTCTAAGTGCACTCCTGTGTCTAATATATGGGGCCTCAGTGCAGACACACCAGAATCATATTTCTCCAGATTCCATCATATTCCGTGTCATGAAAGCATATATGTGCTAGTTCATCCTAAAACCCACATAAGGGGCTGGTTTCTCAATGTCAAGAACAGGGAGGAGAAATTTTGCACACCTACCTTGTTCTTAGTATAAAGATGAGGGACCACTTTTTGAAACACCTTTGGCACCTGTTCCAAAGTATCATTGTCAACAACATGCAGTATACAGACTGGAAGTACAGAATAGACTTTGGGAAGCAAAATCATATCTTGAGGAACCAAAAATGTTTCCCTGTAATTATAAATACATGAATTTCCTGGATGTGAGTCATAACATTGGAAACTGGGATTTATGCTGAACAATAAAAGAAAGTCTAAAACTGGAAATCTACAAAGTGCTCACACTGTTTTCTCTAGTGGGGGAGGGGCCCGTGGTGCTTAGCCTTGCAGTGCTGTGAATTAGCTGGTTACCCAGAGATGCACAGGGCCTCAGGACCATGCTCACATGGATTCGTTGGCCTCTGAGGCCGCATGGTGTTAGCAGAGCTTCAAGCCACATCTGACAATTCTTGGGAGGCCTTATGCAACCTGTTCAAAGCCAAGTAGGCGAGGCATGACATGCACTCTAGGCTCTGTACTATCTCTTTGGTCCCAGGATACTGTTTTCTTCTCTAACTACTGTTACTATACTCATTTTTACACACTGTAGACCTTCTAAAATCAAACTATCTACTTTACGGTTTTATCTCCTATTTTACCTATTATGTAATGATTTCCTTCCATACTGAAAGAATATCAGTTTATGATGTTTACTATACGTAAAAAGTTCTAACAATTAACTTCAGATATTCTTTTCTTGTGCTGTTGCTGTTTGTTGTCATTCTATGTTTTTACCCAGATGTTAAGGGGCTACCCCCAGTTCTCTGTTTTGGAGTTACTCCTGATGGTGCTGTGGGGATGGTGCACAGTAGTAGGAATACAAACAACGCTTCCTGCATGCAGAGAATGTGCTCAGCACATTGAGCTTCCTCTCTGGCCCCATCTGTTATTTGGAAGAAGTACGACTAAAACTCTATATAACTAATGCTTCTTCAAACCAATGTGGAAGAAACATTAATTTGTGAAAACAGCCTAAAGGTCCATAATCATGTCTAAAACTCTAAATATGTGAATAATGAATAGTAATAGGGGCTGGAGCGATAGCACAGCGGGTAGGGCGTCTGCCTTGCACGCAGCCAACATGGCCGACCCGAGTTCGATTCCTCCGCCCCCCTCGGAGAGCCCGGCAAGCTACCGAGAGTAGTCGATATGCCAGACACAGTAACAACAAAGTCTCCAATGGAGACGTTCCTGGGCCCGCTCGAGCAAATCGACGATCAACGGGAGGGCCTTTACCTTTACCTTTACCTTTGAATAGTAATGAAAAGTTCCATCACATCCCATACATAACAGTCTCACCTGAACACTACAAACCACGTATTTGGTGGCTGTTCTGAATAAGTCACAGTGTAGTCAGAAAAAGCAACCTTAGTTTCTTCATCTTGAAAGCATGGATAAGATTCCATGGACTTGCAGTTGCTTTTAAACATTAGTCTGAAAGTACAAACATAATTTAGAGACAACCAATTTTAAAAATATATATTTTAGAAAATAGGCATAAGCAAAGAACATTATGAAATACTATAGTATATAGATATCTGGATTTAATCTTTCACAAGGGAGGGCTGGAAGATTTATATAGATGGAACTAGAGTAGAGAAGTATTTTACTTATACTTTTTATATACTTTATGTATTTATGTATATATATTTTTTGTTTTTGTTTTTGTTTTTTTTTGCTTTTTGGGTCACACCCGGCAATGCACAGGGGTTACTCCTGGCTCATGCACTCAGGAATTACCCCTAGCGGTGGCCGGGGTATCATATGGGATGCTGGGAATCGAACCCAGGTAGGCTGTGTGCAAGGCAAACACCCTACCCGCTGTGCTATCACTCCAGCCCCATGTATTTATGTATATTTTTATGCTGAACCATGAACTGTATTTATCAAAGGTTCTAAACATGATCTGAAATTCTTCCATCATGTCAAGTTGCTCTTAGAAGATATTACTTCTCTAAAAGAACCTGAAGATTTTCCTTTCATTTTCCAGCAGTTTGAGTAAGATGATCAGAGAAGTGTTGTTTTTCTGTGTCCTCCCTGCATGCAGTTTGAAAACATTGGTGAATGTATTTTACCAGTTTGGGAAAGTGTTCAGCTTATATGCTCACAATATGTGACTATACTTATATGAGTTAATAAGCAAGCTCCTCACATCCCTAAGTTATTTAACTCTTCTCTCCAATATTTCCCTAGACAAGGGTTAGCTATATTTTATTGATTCCTTTCCAAATGCAGTGATAATTTCTTCTATTTTGCTTAATCTGCTGCTAAATCCAGTAGTATATATTTTTTATTTTAGCAGTTTTCATGACATTTTCATCCAGCTTTTCTTAAGTTATCATATACTATTAAGCTATATTTTTCTATCTCTATTCCTTATTTTCTTAGACATTTCCATCATTACTCTATTGTTTATTTTTCCCTATTATTTTCTTTATATTTCTCTTTTCTTTACTTTCTTTGATATTTCCATAATTAGAGATTCTATCAAAGGAAGCTTCCTTCTTTTCATGTATATTTCATAGCAATTACTATGAATGCACATTTATATACATCAAATTAGCTGTTGTTTCAGATAATTTTCAGATTTTCTTCACCTTGGATTTTTTCCCTTTATGGTCTTTGGTGCATACCTGAAAGTGCTCAGGGCTTAGTTCTGGCTGTGCTCTGAGATCATTCCAAGCAGTGCTTAGGGGACCATATGTGGTGTGGGAGAATTGATCCCAGATCAAACAGGTGCAAGGCAAGCCCCTAACCAGAGGTTTCTTTATCTTTCTGGGTCCCTAGTCTCTGTCTCAAACATAATTAGAGCTCAGTTTTCCTCAGGTTTTACTACTTCTGATTTGTCTTTGTTTCTATTGCATCCTAAGGATTTTAATAAATGTCTTTAGTGTCCCCTCCCCTGGGGACATGGGGACAACTAAACATGAACAATTTTCCACACAACCATAAAACCTTAATAAATTTATATTCAGAGACTTTCTGTTAACATCCTTTTAATGTATTTCTATTGGATCATGGTGAATTACAAAGCCTTAAAGGTTTAAATGGTTGAGTTTCAGATGTACATTGTTCCAACACCAATCCCTTCATTAGTGACTGTTACCCTCCACCAATGTCCCTGATTTCTCTCCCCACTCCCAAACTGCCTCTAAAGCAGGTAATTTCCCCTTCCTCCATTGTCTTAATGTCCCCTTCCCTAACTTAAGATAAGTGTGATTAAGAGGAACAAAAATTAGTAAGTACCCATGGAAATGTGCCAGGTATAGAATGGAGGGTGTTCAGGTGAAGGCCATGATACATTTCCAATTGCAGTCATTAGGGAAAACTCATGCTGGAGCAGTAGCACAGCGGGTAGGGTGTTTGCCTTCCATGTGGTCGACCCGGGTTCGATTCCTTCGTCCCTCTCGAAGAACCTGGCAAGCTACTGAGAGTATCCTGCCCACATGGCAGAGCCTGGCAAGCTCCCCGTGGCATATTTGATATGCGAAAAACAGTAACAACAAATCTCACAATGGAGACATTTCTGGTGCCTGCTAGAGCAAATTGATGAACTGCGGGGGGACAGTCCTATAGTGCTACAGAGAAAACTCAAGGAACATGGGAAAATTTGAACAGAAACCTCAAAGATCACAATATACTGCAATAGAAAGAAACAACATCGAAGTGTCTTACCTTAAAAAATAAAGTGCATACTGTTCTAAATTCTGTTCTACCATAGCCCAGGTTTTCTGTAGAACTTCTGCAGCAGCGGCATTTTCTTTTGAGTCTAAAAATAGCAATAAGAAACTACATAAAAGTGTCTGAAAGATTTTATTCAAATACCTCTTGTATAAAGAAGTTGAAAATTACAACTAATGTGGCATTCAAAGTCATAAACTTGATTAAAAGTCAAATCGTGCACAAAAGACAAAGTTGCAAATCTCTAGTTGAGAGTCCCATGCAAAATTTTCCCATTTAGGCAACTCCCCTTTAGTTTTAAAATTACAAATTTAGTTCTTTGATTTAATTGAAGACACTGATGAAATAATTTGCACTAGAGTTACTCTATGCACCAGAAATTTCACTTGATAGCACTTATGTCAGTAAAAATAATCTTCCCATTTTTTCCCCCTAGAAACCAATGACTACATAAACCCCCACTGAAACCCAATCTAAAGCATAATCTATAATCTATAATATCTTAAGAATTTGTGATGCCGGGGGAGGGGGGAATGCAAAGCCATAGTTAGTGGCTTAAATTTAACGTATCCAAGATTAGTATTTGTTGAAATTTCCTTATCTTACTTTCAGTATCTGAAGTTAGTAAGATATCTAACTATATCTCAATAAAGTTCCTTGTCTACTGTGTGCTGACTACCACTAGGACACTAGATTCATCATAACAAAAACTCATATATTTTACTAACTTCTATACCACTAGAATATAGAGTACAACAGTTCTTCAAAATACACATGATGAGTAAACGTGCAGATATTAAGAAATTAAATTTTACAAGGTTTTATCACAAAAAAGAAAGGAGTTGTATGAATATAAATTTGTTTTATATCAAGAAATCAATTCTTTTTCACTACTTTGATTAATAATCTCACTAAATATTTTAAACAGAAATTTTAAGACAAAATTTTTCAACACAGAAGAACTCAATTGGAATAAGGCGTTTCTTCTGAAAGTTACCACAATTTTTTTTATAATTTTTTTCTCTACAAATTTTATTTTAATCCAGTATAAGAATAAGAATTTTTTCACAAAATGGTTTGTTTCCAGATACACATATATGTCCTATATGTGTAGCAATATACCTAAAACTCACTTATACCTTCTAAATTAATGTCACTATACACACACATAGAATATTTTAATTCCTTCACAAACTCATCCATTTATTCATTTTATTTTTAAAAAATGGTCTAAAATATAAAATCATCTATGACTGCTGCAACCATTTTATGTGACAAGAAATTTAGTGAGGCAGAGAACAGTTCCCCATTTTTAAAGAATTCACAATAGACTGGGGAAAAAAAGCTAATATTTCTCTCTCTTCTCTTTGTCCCTCATAGTTGTTACGTGATTACAAGATCATCAGGCTCTGTGTTCAATTCTAGCACCAAAAAGGTGAGTGTGCTAACAAAAATCTGAATCTCAAGAAATTTTAATATTTAAAGGGTTGGGACTGGAACGATAAAACAGTGCGTATGGCATTTGCTTTGCACGTGGCCGACCCGGTTCAATTCCCAGCATCCCGTATGGTCCCCTGAGCACCACCAGATGTAATTCCAGAGTGCATGATCCAGGAATAACACCCTGTGCAGAGCCGGGTATGACCCTCCCCCCCAAAAAAAAAGAGTTAAAAATAATCATCTAGGTCATAAAGTAAAGTTGGATGATTCTAAAATATTTTTATTAACACATAATAAATTCAAATGATCATCTTGCTAAACACATAGTTATCCCACTAATGACTTAAAAACTCTACCTGGGGTCCTAGCCTTCATCAGCATTCGGACATAAATCCCTCGCCATAAGGCCTGGATTTTAGTTGCTGCTACCTCGTGCTGCACAGCATAGTCTTTTTCCTTCGCTAAGCTGACATTTTTATTCTCTGTCAACTCTCCTGGAAAGAGAAAAAACAATTTTGGATTAAAAGTTTTCTCTAACCCTTATCCCACATGAACACCTTCTAGCTAATAAAACCCTCTGACATGTGAAGCACCACGAAGGATAGGTTTGTTATTTTTTTAAATTGCTTTTTGTGGGTTGTCTTTTTTTTCACATTTGATTTTATTCTATTTGAGGCCACTTTCAACTGTGTTCAGGGGGTCATACAAGTTCCAGAAATCAACTCTGTGTATGGAAGCTCAGTGTTCTGCCATTTAAATCTCATTCTTGATTTCTAAAGGTCTTGTTTAAAGGATAGACTATCTAGCGAAGGAATAAACTCTAGAATTGACATCATGGTGGAGCACTGCAGATTCACCATGGTGGCAGCAGTAAAACGATGCTCTCAAAATGGAAAGAAAGTATTAAAACTGTATGGGAGAGCAAGAGAAGGGAGGGGGGGGTTCCTTGGATAAAATATTTTTCATGGAATTTCTCAAATCATACTTAATTGACTAGTGGCATTCATACTTTTTAAGTTCAGGAACAAATAATGTGTAAAATTTCCATGTTCTCAGAGCAGAGAATTGGTGTAGTGGGTAGGGCATTAGCTTGGTACGTGACCAACCTAGGTTTAATCCCCAACACCACATATGGTTCCCCAATCATACCAGGAGTGATCCTTGAGCACAGGGCCAGGAGTAGTCCTGAGCAGAGCTGGGTGTGGTCCAAAAGTAAAAATAACAACAACAACAACAAAAAGAAAGCCTCTGGGTTCTTCTGCAAAGATGTGGGCTGGAGGACATTTGACAAATCTTTGGGTTCCTCTACGACTGTCTTTCCAGAGCTGTTAGACCTACACTGGTAAAAATTTGAGGGTACTTCACTCAAATGCATTTATCCATCAATTCCAGGAATCCCTCTGTCATATAATTACCTAAAGAAATCTCTTCCGCGGTTGAGTCCAACAGTTCAAAGTTGAAAACCAGGGCACGGAATGCAAATTTGAAGTTTGGAAGTTTGCTGCTTTGACAATTTATCATTAACTTCCATAAAGAAACTTCAAAGACCTGGGAGAAAGGAAAAGTTTCTGTATACTTTTAAGAAATATATAATAACTAACCAGAAAGGCTTTAAATGCACTAGAGGGATTATCTGGGTGACCAATAGCCAGGGACAATCTCCCCGATCTCTTCATCCGGCACTCAGGGAAAGTTCTCTCCCTTTATCCTTCCTTGCAGATGTTCATTAGGTCATTTCATTTTCTTCCCCTAAATTTTTTTTTTGGTCAGACAATGCATATATATTTGAAATGGTGACAACATGAACTCTTGTGAGTAAATTCACAGAGAATCCTAGAAGTCTCCTGGCCAACAAAGGTTGTCAGGAACTACAAATTACCAAACAGGCTCTGATTTCATTCTAATGCTAAAATGAGAAAGAAATGCACATCTTAGAATTGCTGATAGAATGTTCCCTTCAAAGCTATAGGATTACTATATATCCTGGTTTATTCACATTTTCTGAAAACTCCTCTTGAATACAGAAACAGAGAGCAAATCTCCTAATCGTGCTCCCTTTGGCCCCATCAGCTGGTAATAATGATAAAAACCTGAAATCAAGGTTAAGACAGCAAATTGTTTGTGAAAAATACAGAGAAAATATAGGGGCCATATTTTTTTATGAGCTGAACTTATCCAAAAAAACAAGTCTCAAAATTAAATGGAACAAAAGACAATATGATCTAAGGCTCTTCTGTCCCCCTTTTTCACAGTTTTTCTCTTGGTTATTTGTATTTTTAAGTACCAAGAAGTCCCTGAAATCTTATAATAATGATGATGATTATAGTAATACAATTCTAATAGTAATTCAACACATCAAGCTCTTTATTGTGGCTTAAGTCAGTTAGATGTATTTTCCGTCATTTGATAAAGAAATAACATAAATGTTTCAAATCAGAGATAAAAATTAGACAGATGCATGATTATGCAAATCCTCTTACTCTAGCTTCAACTTAATATTCAACAAGAAAATTTTCTTCTTTCTCTTTAACCCTATGGAGAACATTTTTGGGGAGATGTCTATTATTTTATACATACTGTTTGTTTATATTTATTACCAGGATCTCACCATTCTACAGGGAGGTGATCGTTAACGTCAAGAGAGGGGTTTGGCAGGGTGATATCATTTCACAAAAACTCTTCAATGCCACCCTCAAGAATGTCAAGCGTTGACTGAAATGGGAAGAAATGGGAGCAAAGATAGACGGTCGGCAACTGCACCACCCCTCCGCTTTCCTGATGACATCGTTCTAATAAACACCGAACATCAGCCAAGCGGCACAAATGCTGGCTGACTTCGACCATGAGTGTGGAAAGGTCGGACTACAAATGAATCTCACAAAGACAACGTTTATGAGAAACACTCTCGTTCCTGACGTTCCATTCACTCTCAATGGAACAAACATCTCCGAATGTAAGTTATGTGTACCTAGGTCGAGAAGTCAACATGACAAATGACCTGGCACATGAGTTGCGCAGAAGGAAGAAAGAAGCTTGGAATGCCTGCAAGAGCATCAAAGAAATAGCTAAGAGGACAAAGAACCTCCAGCTCCGGGCACATCTCTTTGAATCCACTGTTCTTCTTGCATTAACATATGCCTCAGAGACCTGGGCCCTATGACAAAAGGATGAGAATACTATTTGGGTCTCTCAAAGACGAATCAAAAGAGCTATGCTTGGAGTATCACGTGTCACTCAAATGAGAGAAAGAATCCAGAGTTCCAACCTCCATTGATGGTCAAGAATCAGGGCTTCTGTCTCATTTGCCAAGGTGTCAAAAATCAGATGGGCTGGACATGTAATGATATTTGGAGACGACCGCTGGACTAGAGCCATTACCGACTGGATTCCACGGGACATCAAAAGACTGTGTGGCCGCTCACCTACGAGATGGTCAGACTTCTTCATCAAGACCCTGAACGATTGGTTTGAGGCTCTTCATGTTCCTAGAATGAGCTGACGCCATTGGGCTACACTAACATGGGACAGGAACAAATGGAGGCGTTACTGGCACCCGCTCAAGCAAATCTATGAGTAACAGGATGTCAAATGATCAAGTGATCAGGTTTGTTTATATAATATTAAATTTTAAGTAGATGAAATGCTTCTATGCAAAGACCTTATTTTCAAAAATGAACTCAAAATAGATTACAGATAAAAATATCAAGTAAAAATTATAAAACTCTTAAAAGATAGCATAGGAGAAAATTTATGCTAGGTATGGTAATAAGTTTATAGAAGCAGCAAAACTGGTATGATTCAGAAAACAAAGACTTGATTAAAATCAAAATCTTCTCTGTGAAAAATAATTCTCAAGATAATTGAGAAAAGAAGCCATAGATTGGAAGAAAAATATCTGCAAAATATACATATGATACAGAATCTAGAATGAATGAAAATTAAACCTATGAAATTCTGTAAGTTGCAGGCGAAGCAATACTAAATGGAAAACTTTTACAAATACAGCGTACTTCATTAGATTATAAGATCACAAATAAATTATTCTAAGCATTCAATTAGAGAAAAGAAAAGGAACTAGCAGGGGAAAACATGAAAATGATTAGAGCATAAGTTAATGAAATAAAGGTAAAAATTATTAAAAATATGATCAAAGCAAATAACTTGTTATTTGGAAAGGGCAACAAAAATAGAAAATTTTAGTAAGACTCACAAAGAAATTAAGGAATTAAACACGTGAATTACACTGAACTTTTAAAGAATATTTAATACCTATCCTTTGCAAGTTTGTCCATCAGTGGAATAAAAAGAAAAAGTTTTAAACACTTTCTATGAAGACAACCTTATTCTTGTTGCAAAATCAGATGAGCTTTGCTAAGAACTGAAAGCACTGGACCAGAAAATCTGATGAGGTGGTTGCAAAAATAGTCAATAAAATAGTTTTAAAGCAAACTAAATAGTACATAAAGCATTTGTCATGATTAATAAATGTTTATTTCAGAGATGCAAAGATTGTTAAGCATAAATACACATCATTGATATGACCATGAAAAACTACACGAACAAAAGGAAGGGAAAAATATGATCATCTCAAAAGATGCGAAAGAAGCAAATGACAAGTTAAAATCGATTTTTGATAGAAATCCTCAATAAATATTTCAGAAGGAATAATTTCAACATAGTAAAAGCTAAACATAATAGACCAACAGTCAGTTGTAAAAAAATTAAGATTTTTTTTCTAAGATCAGAAACAAAGCAAGGATACCTGTTTTCATCACTATTAGTCAATACTAGGTGGGATTCCTTGCAAGGAAATTGGAAAAGAAAACATAAAACCACTATTATTTGCAGATGTCATGATAATGCACAAAGAAAATCCCCAAACTCAAATAAAGAATGCAAGAAATGATAATATAATGAATTTACAGGATAATGTTAAAATCCTATTGTATATCTATAATCAAATAAAGAGAAATAAGTAAAATAATCCTACTTATAATTGCATCAAAACAAAAGCCTTGGAAAAAAATTAATCAAAGAAATAAAACTCCTATACATATAACATGATGATACTGTTTAAAAGGAGAAGGAGATAAAAAGAGAGGAAACAATATTCTACTGGAATGATAAAAATGTCTTAAGATGGGTTTGTTACCAAAGAAATATACCAAAATATATTATATACCAAATATATTATACACCAAAATATACCAAACAATTCAATGAATTCTCACCAGATACCTCAGAAGAATCTTTACAAAAACAGAACAGATAAATCATAAAATTTATTTGGAACTTCCAAAGACACTCACCCAACTAGCAAAAAATTCTCCAAGGAAGTAATAATTTAGGTAGAAGTTTTTTACTTCCCAATTTCAAACTTCAAACTACACTGCAGAGTGATAGCAATTAAAACAGCATGGCAGTGACATAAAAACAGACACACTGATTGGTGGAACAAAATAGGAAGAGTCAAGAATTTACAATGGATCAAGAAAAGTGTCTTCTGTAAATGATGTTAGGAAAACTGGACAGCCACATGCAAAAGAAGGAAACTCGACCCCTACATAAAATTTAATTAAATATGGATTAAATACTTGGATATAAAATCTGAAGCAATAAAATACCGAGATAAGAAACGTATGCAATACGATATGTTTCCTGACATCAGCCTGAAGATATGTTCAAAGAGTTGAATCCATTGACAAGGTAAATAAAAGCAGAAGCAAATGATGTTGCCTCCAACAATGTTTACTTATGATGAAAGAAAGAAGCCTAGATCAAAATAAAAAGACACCCCACTGAATTGGACAAGATACTTTAACATCCATATAGCTGACAAATGATTACTATTCAAAATATACCAAGAACTAAGAAGAGTTCAACCATGATAAGAAGAGCAACTGGAATTTTTTAAAACGAGAGGAACTTAATGCACACTTCTTCAAAGTACACAAACAGATAGACTTTATCATAAACTTTATTAATAAAGGCAAAAGGGAAATATAGCCTGAGATATTGGCTCCTTCCCACAATCAACTAAAAAGACTCTTATTACCTCTTATTATTAATGAAACAAAAAGATGAGTAACAATGAGATATATGGTTCATGTGATCTGATTTAGAGAATTCAATATGAGACACTTCAGTAGCTTTGGAAGAACAAGCTGTCTTAAATATGCTTACCTTGAAGTGCTGTGTAGTTAACTGTTTGTCATGAAGGGGCACAGGGTAGTGAGCTGCTTGGAGTTCCTTCAGAGCTTGAGGCAATTTTTGTTTATCTTTGAAATTAGTAATCACGTTTCCAACGGCTTTCAAAATAAGTAAAGCCTGCTCTGTAAATCGTAAGCTCTCCTGTGAAAATAAAGCATATTATGCAGTCTTGCTATATTTACATGTCACTAAGTTTACAAAAATTTAATTTGTGCTAATCTATTAAACCTCCAATTATGACTGACTCAAGTGTTATTTATGAAGCAAGGATTCACACATTTTTTGTAGTAGTGTCATGGTGTCAGAGATATCAAACAATGCCAATGCTGTTAAAATGAGAACACAGAGGAGGAACACTGTGACTTCTTGGGGTCCAGGGGAGAATTTTCTACTACCATTGGTTCCCAGAATTAGTATGGAAATATGTCTAGGGGTTTGCATGACAAAAGCCAACAGTTTAAGAACTGAGGGGAAGAAAAGGATTTAGAGAGAAATTTTTTTAATTATAAAGGTGATAAACTATTCTGAGATACTAGCTCCTTCTGGCAATTAAAATCTAAAAACAAATGTAGAAAAGGAAGAAATGGTTATACATGAAAATAAAAATGAAGTTTTTTTTCCATATAATAGAGCGACCAGGAATCCCTCTTCAGAGAATATATATAATAGAAATAACACAATATCTATGAGATACATGTGCCTCTATACGCACTGTGCATGAATCACCAGAAAATGAAGTATTATTGAGTCTCAAAAAAGAATGGAAGAAGGGAAAGAAAGAAAGAAAGAAAGAAAGAAAGAAAGAAAGAAAGAAAGAAAGAAAGGGAAACTGCACAGTTGTAAGACTATGCAAATCAACTCCCAAATACATAACAGAAGAGGTTGTCTTTAGAGAACATCTAAAGACAATTTAGAACCTCAGAAAAGACACTAGTATCATTTACTTCATGTTTTCTTTCGGAAACATCAAATCAGCACAGTAAGAGAAAGTAACAGACAAGAGGAAATTGAGAAGATGAGAGGTAAGTTAGGGGATTTTCCATATATCCACTCTCCCTGAATCCAAAGAATAAACATACCAAACCCCTTAAGATAGGAAAAGATAAAAGGAACTAATGCCATCATATATGAAGCTTGATCACGTCTTGATCACTTGACATCCTCTTACTCATCAATTTGCTCGAGCTGGCGCCAGTAAAGTCTCCATTCGTCCCTGTCACGTGCTAGAGTAGCCCAATGGTGTCTGCTTGTTGTAGGAATATGAAGAACCTCAAACTGATCATTCAGTGTCTTGACGAAGAAGTCTGACCATCTCATAGGTGGGTGGCCACTCAATCTTTCGACGTCCCGTGGAATCCAGTTGGTAATGAGTCTAGACTATCAGTCGTCTCCAAATTTCATTACATGTCTAGCCCATCTGATTTTCCACACCTTGGCAAACGAGACAGAGTCCCTGATTCTTGACCTTCGACGGAGGTAGAACTTTGGATTCTTTCTCTCATTTGAGGGAAGCTTGATACTCCAAGCATAGCTCTTTCAGAATCCTCTTTGGGAAACACAAATAGTGTTCTCATCCTGTTTTCATAGAGCCCAGGTCTCTGAGATGTATGTTAATGCAGGAAGAACAGTGGAATAGAAAAGATGTGCCCAGGGGGTATGGTGCCGCCAGCAGGTCAATCTGTACCTGTAAGGCGAGTGCATCAGCAGCCTCATGGTGCCTTCAGACTTATAGATACCCCAAAATTGCTGCTGTGCCTCTGGCCAGACCCCAAAAACTTGGGGCAAAGTTTACCAAGAAAGTAAACGGCCAAAAGTTAGGTATGTGGGAAATACACCCACAAACCACCTCCGGCTCAGCTATATAATTGGAGGCATGGCCTCTCTGGTTCCTGATTGAACTGCTTAATGGCCATGATCCCAGAGACTCAAAAACAAATCTCGAAACCCAGCAGCTTTTGGCAGAAATGCATCTGGTCCCTGCAGTAGGTTACCGGTGCTGGGCCAACCCAGGTGGGAATAGGTTTCATGCCTTGGCCTGTTCCCTCTGGCGGCCGGGTGCCTGCCATCCTCCAGAGGCCACTGGACAGTCAGGTTTTGGCCCGCAGCGACGAGACATGCAGAGCCTCACGGGATGGAGGTGGAGCTGGTCCTGTCCTCCCCACCCCAACGAGACCCCAAGTCATCGCCCACAAACGGCCTCTCTGGCTCCTAATCAAGCTGCTTAATGGCCATGATCTCAGAGACTCAGAAACAAATCTTGAAACCCAGTGGCTTTTGGCAGAAATGTGTCCAGACCCCACAGTAGGTTACTGTTGCTGGGCCACCCCAGAGGGAAAAGGGTGTTGTCACCCTGCCTGCTCCCCCTTGGCGGCTCGGTGGCCATCATCCTCCAGAGGCCATTGGACAGTCAGGCTTGGGCCCACAGTGACGAAACTTGTTGGGCCTCACTGGATGGTGGGGGGAACTGGGCCTGTTTTCCCTACCCCAACAAGACCCCAAGTCATCGCCCATGAAAAGCCTCTCTGGCTCCTGATCAAGCTGTTTAACAGCCATGGTCCCAGAGACTCAGAAACAAATCTCGAAACCCAGCGACGTTTAGCAGAAATGTGTCCAGACCCCGCAGTAGGTTACTGTCACCAGGACACCCCAGGGGGGAAAGGGTGCTGTCCCTCCGCCTGTTTCCCCCTGTTGGCTTGGTGGTCATCATCCTCCAGAGGCCATTGGACAGTCAGACTTGGGCCCGCAGTGATGAAACTTGTTGGGCCTCACGGGATGGGGGTGGAGCTGGGCCTGTCCTCCCCAACCCAATGAGACCTCAAGTCATGGCTCACGAACGACCTCTCTGGCTCCTGATCAAGATGCTTAATGACCTTGATCCCAGAGACTCAGAAACAAGTCTCGAAACCCAGCGGCTTTTGAAAGAAAGGTGTCCGGACCCCGTAGTAGGTTACTATCGCCGGGCTACCCCAGGGTGGAAAGGGTATTGTCCCTCAGACCGATCCCCCTTGGCAGCTTGGTGGTCGTCATCCATTGGACAGTCAGGTCTGGGCCCGCAGTGACAAAACTTGTTGGGCCTCACAAGATGGGAGTGGAGCTGGTCCTGGTCTCCCCGTCCCAATGAGACCCCAAGTCATCGCCCACAAACGGTCTCTCTGGCTTCTGATTAAGCTGCTCAACGGCCATGATCCCAGAGACTCAGGAGCAAATCTCAAAACCCAGTGGCTTTTGGCAGAAATCCCTCCAGATTTAAGTGTTAAAATTTCAGAATTTCAAATTCACATGGCCCTACTGCAGCCACGTGACGTCATATGTTATTCATAACCAGCAATAGAAACCAAATTGTCTACTGTTGCATTTTCAGCAGATCTGAGTGTTGGGGTAAAATCTCAAATAATAGTGGTGGGTCTGGTGTCGAAATATTGAATGTGATCAAAGTAGAGAGAGTAATGTGGAAATCATCTGCCCCACAGGTAGGGGGAGGGTGTGGGATGGGAGTATACTGGGGTTTTTGGTGGTGGAGAATGGGCACTGGTGAAGGTACGGGTGTTTCATTGTATGACCGAGACTTAGACCCAAAAGCTTTGTAACTGCTCTCATGGTGATTCAATAAATAAAATTATAAAAAATGAAAAAAAAAAGAAAAGATATTCCCAGAGCCAGAGGTTCTTTGTCCTCTTAGCTATTTCTTCAACACTCTTGAAGGCTTTCCAAGCTACTCTCTTCCTCCTGTGCAACTCAGGTGCCAGGTCATTCGTTTGTCATGTTGACTTCTCGACCTAGGTACAGATAATTGTTGCATTCGGAGATGTACGTCCCATTGAGAGCAAATGGAATGTCAGGAATGAGACCTTTTCTCATAAACATTGTCTTCATGAGATTCAGCTGTAGTCTGACCTTTCCACACTCACGGTCAAAGTCGGCCAGTGTAGGATGACATTGCTTTGTCCTTTCCCCCTTGCCACAAGGAACTCAGGTTTATTACAGTGCTCCTGAGGCACTTCCATTCCATTATGTTTATCTGTAAGCTCTTCCCTATGCTCTCCTCCCCAACCACTTAATCAGCTTTTTCCCCTAATCAGACTCTGTTAACTTGTAAGGTCAGATTCCCCAGAAATCTATGATTTTATATGTATGAGTGAAATATTGTCTTTCTCCTCTCCTTATAGCACTGTATAGCATTGTCCTCCCATTGTTCATTGATTTGCTCGAGTGGGTCCAGTAGCATCTACATTTTGAGATTTGTTGTTACTGTGTTTGGCATATTGAATACATCACGGGTATCTTGCCAGGCTTTTCCGTGCGGGCGAGATACTCTAGATAGCTTGCTGGGCTCTCCAAGAGGGGCGGAGGAACCGAACCCGCCTCGGACAGGCTGGCTGCATGCAAGGCAAACACCCTACCACTGTGTTATCGCTCCTCTCCTTATGTCTTATGAATAGTTGAAAGCAATGTCCTTTTTTCACAAAGCAATGTCCTTTTTGTATAGATACAGGAAGACCATTAATATCATGCCTTATAACTTAGGATTTCATTGGCTTTGAACAGTATTCATTCCTGGGCATCTGATTTCTCGACTTAAGCCTTAGTTGCTCTTAGTTCCTAAATGCCAAAAGCAGGATACTGACGAGGAACTGAATGGACACAGGGCAAGCTGTGAGCTACCCTGGCATCAAAATGGACCAGGCCAAAGTGCCACGACTCTTAACTATAAGTTAAGAGCTTGATCATAGACAAATTCCGTTATGATCCAAAAGTAACGACGAGACTAGGACCCTGCTAAGGATAGGAAAGACTATCTAGCCTGAGCACTAGTCTGAGATCGAGATGGCCCTAGAAGAGCAATTCTATAAACTTAAGTATTTCTTACTGTATCCATACAAAATGATTCATATTACAAACACTGTCCTCCCATTGTTCATCGATTTGCTCAAGCGGGCCCAGTAACATCTCCTTTGTGAGACTTCTTGTTACTGTGTTTGGCATATTGAATACTCTCAGTAGCTTGCCAGACTCTCGGAGAGAGGCAGAGGAACTGAACCTGGCTCAGCCAGGCTGACTGCGTGCAAGGCAAACACCCTACCACTGTGCAATCACTTCAGCCCTATGCTTATATATTTGTTGGACAAGGAGAGGAGAAACATACCTAGGGGATTCCGTTCTAGGGTGGGTTGTCCTGCTGAGAGAGTATCTGTCCTAGAAGCGGCTTTCCCCGATGGAAAGAACTTTACCCTTGTTGATTATGACCACACCTACTTGTAATTGTTACCCAAACCCCTCATGCTGGGGGATATTATGAGACTGTAAGAATGGGCAAGAGGAGGCAGAGGAGAGAGACCAGAATGAATGGAGAGAGGATTGGAATAAACAGCAACTAAGACCAACCATCCTGGCTCTCATTTCCTTCCTTCGCCTGCCCATCACCATCGACCTCCCGGGGCTGGGGGAACCGGCGTGAGACTAAGGAATGCGGGCTGCGGGAGAGATAGACCGCTAGGGTCTTTTTGAGTTTATACAGGCCAGCATTTGTGCCACTTGGCTGATGTTTGGTGTTATTAGAATGATGTCACAGTAAAGTGGAGGGTGTGTAGTTGCCAAACATCTATCTTCACTCCCATTCCTTCCCATTCCAGGGAAGCTACATTAAGAAATGTTCTGACCCTTCATAATTCCCGAAGAGCCCATAATTCTTAAGTCTTTAACAGCCGAGAATGGGGATGGATTCAACAGAGCAGAGGTCAAGGAAACTGTTCAAACCCTCCTAAAATGATTTGTCTCTGTTTCCTCCAGAGAGGTCAGATGGTTTATCATACACCCTGTATTTAAGAAGTCCCTTGCAGGATACATCTGATTGTTTTGAACATTCAAATAAAATAGGTACTTTTATAAAAAAGAAGTAGCTTCTGTTCAAAATCTTTGAAAATCAGGCAGGAAAAAAAATCACGAGTGCTAAAATATTTACCGGCTCGAAGTTGGGCAGCACGCTATCTTCATCCCCCACCATGAAGCTCCCCATGCTGCAGAAGTGTAAGGTGTGCGCTACAGGACTACTGGCGGTGAGCAGCAGCATGTGTCTCCTAAACAGAATGGACAACAGGTGAGGACCAAGATCATTTTGTCTTGAAAGAAACCACGTGTCTGTTAATGCCTTGACCTTTTGTGTTCACAGTCCAATATTAGCAAGATGACTCCCAATGTCGTGTCAGATTTCCAACCCTGATCTCTCCCTACATCTGTAATATTAGAGACAATCAGTAGGTTTGAGTGGTATTTTCATTACTATAATAATAATTATTATTATTGACAACATATTTGGAGAAATCGTTTTATTTTTATTTATTTATTTATTTATTTGTTTTTTGGGTCACACCCAAGGATTCTCATGGATTACTCCTGGCTTTACACTCAGGAATTACTCCTGGTGGGGGGATCATATTGGATGTCAGGGATCGAGTCCAGGTCAGTCATGTGCAAGGCAAATGTACTACCCTCTGTGCTATCATTCTGGTCCCATTGGAGAGATCATTTTAGACTCAATGCCCAACTAATACATTTTAACATTTAATCATGGAGTTAAATCTAGACAAAAAATGGGGGAGAAACAGATAACTTCTTACTTATACATCTATACAAGATTCAAATAGAAATTTTTAAAATATGTTGAGTATGCTATCACATCATTTAAACATTAGGGTCAGTTCTATTCACCATCACCCACTTTTTAATAAAAAGGACAATACCAATTTAATTTTGCTTTTTTCCTTCAAAATTCTAAGTACAAGATCATTTACTCCAAAAGCATCAAGTATCTACAAAAATGCCACTTACTTCCTGGTTTGGACACCTGCCCTAAATCTAAAACATTGTGAAAATTTCAGTTGTGGGACTGGAGCCACAGTATAGTGGGTAAGGTGCTTGGCTTGTATGAGGATGACCCTGGTTCAGTCATTAACAGCCCATATCCAAGCAAAAGCAGGAGTGATCCCTGAGCACAGAGCCAGGAGTATAGAGGAATAGAGTACAGCTTTAGGACTTATTACTTTCATATACCAGATCCAGGTTTGATCCTTGGGACTGCATAGTGTGGGATAACATTGGTTTGTCCTTTCTGCCTAGCCCCAGGGAGCTCTGGTTCATTGAGTTACTCCAATCACAGTGATCCCATTTCTGTGTGTTTATTTGTAAACTCTTTCTTTCTATTCTGCTTCCACAAGTGATCAATCACCTTTATCTCCTAATCAGACTCTGTTAACATGCAAATATTGCTTTTCTCTTCACCTTAAGTCCTTTGCATAGTTAATTCAGAGCAATGTCCTTTTTGTATAGACACGGAATATAGTTAATGCTATGCTTTAGTAACTTGGGAGTTAATTGGCTCCAAATAATATTCACTGCTGGGCATCTGTTCTCTTCACGTAAGCCTCAGTTGCCCTTACTTCCTAGCACCCCAAAATCAGGGTCCCGAGGGACTGGATGGATCCAGGGTAAGCTGTGAGCTAACCTGGAATCAAAATGGGTCCAGACAAAGCACCATAATACTTAACTATAAGTTAAGAGCACGGTCATGGACAAATCCTGCCATGACCCCAAAATTAGCAACTAGATTAGGACCATGCTCGGGGTCACATTTGATCACTTGACATCCCATTAATCATTGATTTGCTCGAGTGGGCATCAGTAATGTTTCCATTTGTCCCTGTAAACTGCTCGTGTAGCCCAATGATGTCTGCTCATTCTAGGAATATGAACAGCTTCAAACCGATCATTCAGGGTCTTGACGAATAAGTCTGACTGTCTCATAGGTGGGTGGCCACGTGATCTTTTGCTGTACTGTGGAATCCAGTCAGTAATGGCTCTAGTCCATAGGTCGTCTCCAAATGTCATTATGTGTCCAGCCCATCTGATTTTCAACACCTTGGCAAATGAGACAGCGTCCCTGAGTCTAGATCATCAACGGAGGTCAGAACTCCAAATTCTTTCTCTCATTTGAGTGAAGTGGGTTACTCCAAGCATAGCTCTTTTGATTCCTCTTTGGGAGACCTGAATAGCATTCTCATCCTGCTTTCATAGGGCCCAGGTCTCTGAGGCGTATGTTAATGCAGGAAGAACATTGGAATCAAAGACATGTGCCTGGAGCCAGAGGTTCTTTGTCCTCTTAGCTATTTCTTCGACACTCTTGAAGGCTCTCTCTTAGCTATTTCTTCAACACTCAAAGATGCTCTCTTCCTCCTGTGCAACTCAAGTGCCAGGTCATTTGTCATGTTGACTTCTCGACCTAGGTACACATAACTGTTGCATTCAGAGATGGTTGTTCCATTGAGAGCGAATGGAACGTCAGTAACAAGAGTGTTTCTCATAAACATCGTCTTTGTGACATTCAGCTGGAGTCCGACTTTTCCACACTCACGGTCAAAGTTGGCCAGCATTTGTGCTGCTTGGCTAATGTTTGGTGTTATTAGAACAATGTCATCAGCAAAGCAGAGGTGGTGTAGTTGCCAACCATCTATCTTCACTCCCATTCCTTTCCATTCCAGTTGTTGCATGACGTTCTAGAGGGTGGCATTAAAGAGTTTTTGTGAAATGGTATCACCCTGCTGAACATCTTGCTTTATGTCAATGTTCATTTCCGTGTAGAATGGTGAGATCCTGGAAGTGAATCTGTAATACAGCTTATGGAAGATCCTGATGTATTGAGTGTGAATGCCCTGTTTGTCTAGGGATTCAATGATTGCTTCCATCTCAACAGAATCAAAGGACTTCTTTAAATCAATGAACGTTAGACAGAGTGGCTTCTTGAACTCCCAAGAAACCTCAATGAACTTGGTTAACCATCTGGATATGGTCAATCATGCTGAGTCCTTTTCAGGACCTGGCTTGCTCACATGGTTTTCTTTCATCTAGTGTTCTGCCAATACTATTCAGAATGACTTGAGTGAACAACTTGTAGATGACAGAAAATAGGCAGATTGGGCGAAAGTTGCCAATGTCGTGGATGTCTCCCTTCTTGTACAGTAGTACAGTACTACTGGATTTCCATTGGGATGGAACCTTGCATTCAGACAGGTAGCATGTGAAGAGCCGAGCCAGTGTATTGATGAGTACCAAAGGCAGATTCTTCAGGTATTTGGGTCTGACCTTGTATGGGCCTGGTGCTGTTTGCATCTTTACCGACGAAATGGTGTGTCAGATTTCAGAAGGGAGAACATTGGGAATGATATATTCATCCTGCAGAATTTGGTATGTGGGCTGGTGGATGGGGCTATCAAAGAGATCAGAGTAGAAGTCATGAATAATCTTCTCCATTGCCCTTCTGGAAGATGTGATAGATCCATCAGGACATCAGAGTGCAGTAATCTTGGTCTTGTAGTTGGTGAAGGACAGATGGGCATTGCAAATGCTTTTCCCAGCTTCTTCCACATCTGCCAGCACTGCTGCTCTTCTCTCTTTTGAGGTCTTCCTTGATCAATTCTTTGCACTGCTTTGCGAGCTCAGATATTCGCTTATTTTTGCGTGAGGCATGCGCCAAACCACATTGGCAAATAAGATCAAGAGTTTTCAAAGGCAGGCGTTTTTGTGTGGTTATCTCTCTCTTGGTGTTCCTCTCACAATCATAGAGGTGCTGAACCAGTCGATCATATTCCTCGTCAATGTTGTCAACAATGGCATCTTCCCATGTTGCAGCAATAGTGCTAAAGAGTTCCCAGTTGGTGGTTGTTCTGGGACTTCTCTTCTTAAACTTTGCAGCCCTTTCTCTCTGTTCTGTGAAGTAGAATTTTGCACAAAGTAGACAGTGGTCAGATTCTGTTTGAAATTTTGGGACAACAGCGACATCAGTCAGGCAAAACCGTCGATTGAATATGATGTGGTCAATTTCGTTGTGGAACCATCCACCAGGAGACTCCCCTGTCCAACATTTAGATTCGGTCTTCTGGAACTGTGAGTTACCATGGATGGTCTTGGTCGACATAATGAACTTAGACAGTCATTCCATTCTAGGCCACGGGTCCTGATGTGGAGTTCTTCAGCTGATCTTCTTGGTCCTATCTTGGCATAAAAATCACTGACAATGATCTTGTAGAATGTGTGGTATTCTTTATAGAACTTCTGCAGCTCCATGTAGAACTTCTAAATTTCTCCTTTGTCATAATTGGATGTTGATGCATAGGCAAAGAAGATAGAAACTGCCGGGAGTCAGCCACATCTATTTAAATGTAATCATCTGATTTGGGTTGCTATGCATTCCAGTGAATCAATGCTTATGGCCAAGTTCGTTTTGATAAGGACACCAACACCACTGATGCCTCTTTTGTCACATGTTCAAGGAACAGTTATTTTCCCGTGTCAAAAACGGCTTGATGTGATTGATGCCTTCTTGTCTCAGCCAGACAAATGATGTTGTACTTGATCTTTCCTAACCCTGCTAGGGTTAGCAAAGATTAATCTTGCCTGAGCACTGTAGTCTGATATCTATAACAAGATGTCCCCAGGAGAGCCACCCTACAAGCTTAATGTATCTCTTATAGTGTCCATACAAAATAACTAATATTAAGAAGTAGAATTAAAATGTTAAGTGCAATGTTAATTAAGTAATTGTACTAAGGAAAGGAGAAGAGCCTGAACTCCTGGCTACAGGCCATCAGAAAGGGTGTTGTGGTCTGCAAAAGAGGCATTGAGAGGCAATCATGTTCGGTCCATAGTCTACTTTCAACATGCATCTCCCCTCCTGGGAGGACCCTCCAAACACCCTTTATTTGGTGCTCCCTTCTCTATCTAAGCTGCCCTTTCCCCTAGCATACCCGGCTGGCCTCTAAGCCATAGAGTAATCCTCCTGGTAGTGATCTCGGCTATCCTTGGGTATTAATGTCCTATTTCGTTACCTTATGTTGCTCAGATGAATGAGATCTTTTTATGTCTATCCCTCTCTTTCTGACTCATTTCACTTAGCATGATATTTTTCATAATAGTACTATTTGTATGTAATTTTAATGACTTCGTCTTTTCTACCTACACTACATCCACTACCTAGTCGCCGCCACACTCCAAGACGCTTTCCGGACCCGCACAGCCACTTTGCGGC